CAGAGGACATCAAACGCATTACACTTTAAACCAGAGGGCATCAAGCAGATTGCACTTTAAACCAGACAGCATCAAACAGATTGCATTTTGTATCAAATGGCATCAAACGCATTACACTTTAAACCAGAGGGCATCAAGCAGATTGCACTTTAAACCAGACAGCATCATACAAATTGCATTTTGTAGCAAATGGCATCAAACGCATTACACTTTAAACCAGAGGGCATCAAGCGGATTGCGCTTTAAACCAGACAGCATCAAACATATTGCATTTTGTAGCAAATGGCATCAAACGCATTACACTTTAAACCAGAGGGCATCAAGCGGATCACACTTTAAACTAAGCGGCATGAAACAGATTGCATTTTGTATCGAATGGCATCAAACCCAGAGGTCATCAAACGAATTGCACTTTAAACCAGAAGACATCAAACGGATTATACTTAAACCAGAAGGCATCAAGCGGATTACATTTCATACCAAATGCATCAAGCGGATTCTATGCTTTAAACATCGAGTTGTCTTTACTTAAAAACTTATCCCATTTCCTTCATATTATATCAACACACTGGAATCTCTGAGCTACAGCAAGCAAGAACAAGTAACCTAGTTAGTTAGTTCACGTAGAGTGTATAAACAAGGACTTGACTTCGAATCCCGATGTTTACAGAATTTAGTATTTCTTAAAACTACAACAAGATACACCCTATTTTGGATCTCATTCTTTTCATCATTAAAATACCTTTCCATCTGATATTTTTTATGTATGTATAAATGTAAACTTCATACAGGAATATCGTGTAAGAGGTTTCAGAATTAATTTGTAAATGTAAACTTTTATTGGGTGAATAGCCAATTCTGAATACTTTGATAAATACAGTCGAGATAGTCCGACATGGTCAGGTGGTTAGGGAGGTCGACTCGCAATCTGCGGGTCGCTGGTTCGAATCCCCGTCCCACCAAACATGCTCGCCCTTTCAGCCGTGGAGGGGGGTATAATGTGACTATTCGTTGGTAAAAGAGTAGCCTAAGAGTTGGCGGTGGGTGGTGATGACTAATTGCCTTCCCTCTAGTCTTACACTGCAAAATTAGGGACGGCTAGCATAGCCCTCGTGTAGCTTTGCGCGAAATTCAAAAACAAACAAACAAACAGTCGGGATATACAGTAATATAACTTAATTGGTGATTCTTTGGGAAAACCTGAATAAAGAATCATAGAAGAAGTGAGAAAAATTTAGACTGTGAAATCTTATAAAACAAAATTTCGAAAATAGAACTTCAGGTTTAGGTTTTCTTTGAATATGAGCTTGTTTCACATTCATATCTTGTAACATTCATAACGACGAATTGCATTGTATGCTAATACGGAAGCAAAATATTTTGAAAATAAATTTCATTTTGTTTAGAAGAACATTTTCTGACGTCGCAAAAAAATGTTAGGATAAGAAGTAAGCTGGTATAAAAACTGACTAAATATTGGAAGAGTTTCCAGTAAAACTTATGTAATTTTAGTAAATGCTTTTAATTATCACTTTACTCTTAACCAAAGTTCTATCAAAGCAAAGGCCCAGCATGGCCAGGTGGTTAGGGCGCTCGACTCGCAATCTGAGGGTCGTGGGTTCGAATCCCCGTCCCTCCAAACATGCTCACCCTTTCAGCCGTGGGGGCGTTATAATGTTACGGTCAATCCCACTATT